CTCTCTCTCTCTCTCTATATATATATATATATATATGTGTGTGTGTGTGTGTGTATTATATATATGTGTGTGTGTGTATATATATATGTGTGTGTGTGTGTGTGTGTATGTATGTATATAAAATATTGAGTGAGAAGATAAACTTACATGGCCATTCTGAAAGATCTCTCTAACAGAATCTAATTCCCAGAGGATTTGTTTAAACCAGAGTTCATAAGCTGTAATAAAAACACAAAGAATTATAGAAAGCTCTTTGACTATAATATAATAATGACAAGAGTGACATGAATAGCACCTTAAGACAGAAATGAAAATGAAGTTTAAAAATCAACAAAGTCCAGTTCTTATTTTATTTACATTATTAATTTGATTCCAGAAATAAATATTAATAAATTTATAATACCTTCTTTCTATTGAATTATTTAATGTACCACACCCATTGTTTAAATGTCTAATGTTCATTATTGTTATATTTATTCCTCTCAACACAGCTATCATTTAGTTATTTTAAGAATATGACAGATGACTCAGTCCTAACTTCTCATATGCAAAGTAGCGGTATGTGGGAAAGCATAGTGATACTCCTTTCCACTTACAGACTGAGAAATTAATATTCACTAAACTAAGTGAAAGACTAGTGATTTAAGACCTTGAAGTTTTAAAGCTTGTTATTTAAAATGTAATGTTTGTTTTTGCTTTTATTTCTGTGAAAATCTTAGCAATGTGTACACACAGAACAGATGGCAAAATGAGCAGATGTTTGGGATAAAACAATAATGACAAGAATGTAGTATTACTCTCATGGCTATTTCTCAAGGGAATTTTATGGCAATTGATCCAGCATTATCCAGCATATCTCCTTTTAAAAAACCCACTGCGCTATGAGTCGCATCCGACTCGATGGCAAATAACAACAACAACAAAAGCATAGTATATAGGAAGAAACATCTTCAGAACCAGTTCATCTGACGTTACTAATGATGTTTCCTTGGGTACAAATTTCTCTAAACTACCGTTAACTCCTTTGAAAAATGGTCCAGAAGTTACTCATTTACCAGTGGAAGCCTACTATACAAAATCTAAAGATTGTGATAGATCTGAGAAGACATTTTGAGGCCTTTAGATTATTCATGGTGGGCATAAAATACTTCTTCCTACATGATCCTCTACAAAATATTGAAAGCATCTGGAAAGCAAGTGCTTTGTCATTTGCATCTATTTTCCGAGTACTTGGTATAATGTTTGGCATCAGGTAAGCACTAGGTGATAATTTTATGAACAAATGAATTAAATAACCAATTTGGTTATTAGATGACCATGTTATTGCTGTCAGGCATTGTCGAGTCAATTTTGACTCATAGCAACCCTTTGTAAAACTGAATGAAACACTGCCCTGTCCTGCACCATCCTCACAATCTGTGCTACACTTGAGCCCATCATTGTAGCCACTATGTGGATCCATCTCGTCGAGGGTCTTCCCCTCTTTCTCTGACCATCCACTTTACCAGCATAATATTCTTCTCCAGGGAATGGTCTCTTCTGACCACATGACCAAAGTAGGTGACACGAAGCCTGGTTATTTTCACTTCTAAGGAGGATTCTGGCTGCACTTTTTCCAGATAAGCATAGAAGCCCAATTATCTTAGAGTTCTCTAGTGCAGCCTATCTGAAACTGTCATGTGAGTGAAAACTTTGCTCCTGTACTAATTAGGTAAATCCAATTATAACTTTGAATTTTGTTTAAAGGGACTTTTGGGATGCTAATTTTCATATTTGTACAAAGAGCAAATCAAATAAGCGTCTAATAGCTTACATAAACCATTTTTTCAGGATTAACTTTGTGCCATAGGAAACTCCCTTTCCAATAATGATAGCTAATATTTGTTTGACACGTGATTATTATGTGCCATGCCTTGGGCTAAGTCTTTAATGTGCATTATCTCACTTTCTTTCCCAAAACTCTATGAGTGAGAATATAAAACAATTATCTCCATTTTATAGATGAGGAAATGGAGGTTCTGAGATGTAAGGAAATTGTGGGAAATCACACAGTTTATAATGGTAGAAAGATGGGATTTTGAAATTTTTATATTTTAAATCTGTGCTACTATCCCTGTCCTATCGATTTTTCCTTAAAAAGTGTAAATATAAAAGCAGGATAAGTAACCCAGTAACTCCATTATTTTCCATTTTTCATTTCCTTAACTCAAAAAAGTTGACCATTTTAGCCAGTCTGTGAGGCAAGCAACAACTTGAAGAAATCACAGCAAGAATTGGGCCTTGGTCAGCCAGGTGACAATAGTATAGCACTGACAACCTCAGAGTAAATGTTCTTAATGTTTTGGGACCACAGACCTCTTTCAGACACATATTTATGAACGTTTGCATATAATTTCAAAGAGTTCAGAGATTTTATAAACTTCTAATTCTCAGCTGTGGACTATGAGATGGACAATCCCCATCTAGACTTAGAAGGCTAGATAGGGCAAATGCCCAGCGCATCCAATATTTAAATTTTTGCCTTGGACCAGAATTATATAAGATTACGTAACTCATAGTAAACATCTTTATTCTTGAAAATAGTGTTTAAAGTTCCAAGTCAAGAAATGATATCTCACCTGTAAGTTCTTTGTGAAATTTGGATATAAAGTCCCTTGGGCAAAGCTAAGATCTCACTTAACCCAATCATCAATGAAGCAACATCAGAAGACATTTATGGATGGAAGTCCTATGGGAGTTCATCTGGTAGCAAAATATTTCCAAGCATTTCAAACAAAAGTGGATTCCTTGATATGTCACCATCTTAGTAAAAAGAATTATAGCTGTCCTTATTATTGAGAAGAAATGCCTGTGCAACCCTTTGTGCAACTTACCTTGATGAGTTATAATAAAAAGATGCTCATCGTGGATTTTATTTCCTTTTATTTCACTTTGCAGTTCTTGTGCATTCAAAATTTTTTCCAGCTTTATAAAGAAAAATAGAAAGACTGGTTTTGAAATGGTAAAACTTTTTTTTAAATCAGTTTAATAATAAAACACAATACAAAATAAAAACAACAACAACAACAAAAATCCCTCAAGTTCCCAAATTCTCAGGAACCAATCTTTTTTAAAAAAGTATGATTGAATCTGTCATAAAAATTGAATTAGATTTCTGATTTTGATTCTTAGAAAAATGATATTTGGTAGGATTCTGTCATAACAAGTACTACATTGAGAAGTTAAGTCTCCCTACTCAATGAAATGAATGATAAACTCTGGTAACATGCTCAGCTGACTGCATCACTTGCCCTTCATTTCTCAGACAGCCCACTCTGAAAAGACCTGCGTGTTCTTCCTCAGTTCAGTTTTAGAGGCTCATCAATGAAAGCATCAAACCAAAAACTCAACTCAACTCCCGTTGAGTCGGTCCAACTCATAATGATGCCTCCTTGGGTTTCCAAGGTGGTATCACTACAGAAGTAGATTGTTCAACCTTCCTTCCTAGGAGTAACTGGGACCGCCCAGTCTTCTGGTCAGCAGTCAAGTACCTTAGGCACTATGCAACCAGAGATCCTGAAAGTATCAAGGGCGCTAGTTATTTTGCTTCTTAAAAGGACTAGAAGACAAACTGGCATAAATGTCCAGTATCTCATTTACTAACATCTCTTTTATCAACACTCAAGAAAACTGAGTATACCTTCAAAAGTTCCACTTTACAATCAGGGACTTTAAAATGTAACTTTTTTCTGTATATATTTGCAATTATCTAGGCTAGAATTTATTAAGCAACTCTTGTTTATACAGCTTGTATAAGTCTGCCTGTTAGCTACACTGTATATGATCAGTTATAATCTTCTATCCAGACCCTGACACATACTGAACTTTACTGGATAGGAGAATTTCCATTTGTGTGTCTCCTGATGTGTTCTAACCACAGTTGAATCCACATGACTTAGTATGGTATCTTATGTCCAGAAAACTATTTGGCAGTTAAAAAATAACTTTTATTTTTTAATAAAGTTAAAAAATAAACCTGAAAATGTTGCTTAGCAGAATTTAATATCTAACAATAGAAACAAACCCTGGAACACTTCCACTTACATGCAGGTAGTCCCCATAGATGAGTCCTCCTTTGCTGGCTTTATTCACACCATTTTGTGATTTGTCTTCTTCACTGCCTTCTACAGAAAGTTTTTTAAAAGAATATCTGCAAATTCAACAGATAAGAAGAAAAAATAGAGCTTAAGAAAACAGTTAACTAACAAGAATACATAAAATTCTCTGATAACTATGTTTTTTTTTTTTTCAGAATAGATTATTAAACAAGCCAATAAAGGTGACACTTTTGTATGTTCTTTAAATTTTGTAATTAAAGCACTCATACTTGCCACTTCTAAGAGTCTAGCCACACTTAGAACAGAGGCAAATACTCACCCGAAGTTGTTCCCTAAAAATGGGCATCCACTCATAGTGAAAACTCCCTGTCTGAATAGCACCCTGGCTTTGTCTCCTGATGGCTCTCTCACTGACCTTCCCAGATGTTCCACAGCTGCCTCTTATATATCCTGCTCCTCCTGCACCAGCCAATCAGCACTCTTCATGTGCTCTTATCTGGACTCGCACTTTAATTGGTACAGAAGCTGAACCCCAGTCAATCTTAGGGTGGATTATCTTGCTGAATGTTTCCAAGAAGAATGAGGCTATTCCGCCAAACTGAATCATCTGATTTGCCAAGTTTTGTTTATATATCCAAATAACAAACATTAACTAAATCAATAGAGAATAAGTTTTTTTTTTGAATTTTATTTTCTTAAAGGAAAAGTGTGAGACATTTAACTGTTCATGTTGAATAACAATTTATAGTGTTAAGATATATAACACGATGAGCTAATAGAAACCAAACATTTATTTTCTTGTATATTATTCATTTAATTTATTTATTTATTGTGATTTGAGGGAGATCTGTTGGTGTAGTGCCTAAGGCATTTGACTGTTAACTCAGAAGGCTGGTGATTCAAACCCACCAGCCACTCCTGGGCAGGAAGATTGGGCGATCTATTTCCGTGGCGATACTGCCTCGGAAACCCAAGGAGGGGTTGCTATGAGTTGGAATCCACTCGAGGGCAGTGAGGGTTTGAGTATTGTGGTTTGAATGAAAGTGTGCAGATCATATTTTTCATTCAATAATTTACTCACATTTTGTTTCATAGTATTATTTGCAATTCATTCAATGTAACAGGACTGTTCCTGCTTCCTCCTTGGGTCCCCTGTTTCCATTTCTTCTTTCCTGAATGTTCTCATAACACTTAAATGAAGATCTGAACTTCAATATTCTGAGAAACCACATTCTTTGTATAACATAGATAAAAATAATAGTCAACAAATCCACTTTCTTTCTGCCTTCAGAATTCTTCTAGTCTAAATTTCATCTCGTCATTATCAGATGGTGAGCTCCCAACATATTGTATTGGGATTTAAATGGATGTTATTAATTTTCTATTCACCAATTGCACATCAAAGTCAGAACAAGGGGATCCATCCATGCTGGCGTAGATTGTCTGGAGAGAATTTTAAAACAAAAACATCCATGAGCCCATAGTTCTCAATTATGTCATGGATAAATTTTCCTCCTAGAAAACATAATTTGTCGGTGTAAGTTCTAAACAATTCTTCAAAGACTACTGAGCCAAGAGAAAGTTTCACCACCCTGCTATTGGTACAACACTGACACTTACTAAGAATTATACATAGAGACATTTCTTATATATTACACTAACTAGAATGGTAAATTTTTGTTTAATTTGTTAAAGTACTTAGGGATTGGAAACCTCATTTTCAGTCTTGGCTCTGCCACTGATTAACTGCGCCACATGGGATAATTGATTTAATATCTACATGCAGAACGGCTTTCTCATGGAAAGAATAAAAGAAGTGAAAGTAGTTAACATCTATTGTAATTTTGATGACCATGATCCACCCTAAAATTCTGATTTTATTACCCTATCATAAATTATAGCATATTTAATGCAGAGTCTTACAAGAGTATAAACAACAGGAAAATACTTTGATATAGAAAACTGGGAAATCACCAACACACGCACTCCTCCTCATATTCTCTATGGCTTCTCACACTGACCCTTGAATTGGTTACATAATGGAAAACTGGCATGTCTAGAGGAGGGGCAGGGTCAATGTTCTTGGTGCCCTCTCACATTGTGCTTGTAAGCAAAGAATGCCTAATACTTTTTCTTTTTAAATTTTGTTGTTCACTTTGATGTGTGTTTACAAAGAAAGCAGCTAAATAACTTATTCTCTACTTGGGACCAGAGCTGAGAAACATCCTTTATTTACTGACAAACATACAGGTGAAAGAAATAAAACAATTTTCTATTCTCTATGAATTGGAAACATTAGATATTTTTGGCTTGTATTGAGGTGAAATTCATATAACATAAAATCAGTCATTTTAAAATTAACAATTCGTTGACATTGACCACAGTCACAATGCTGTGCAACCACCACTTCCATTCTGATTGCAATGTGTTTTCAGCATTCTGAAAGGAAACCTCACACTCATTAAGTAGTTTCACCCCATTGTCCCCCTTCCTCAGCCTCAGGCAACCACCAATCTACTTTATGTCTGAATGGATTTATCTATTCTTGAAATTTCATTTAAATGAGTCAACAGAATATATGACCTTTTGTGTATGGTTTCCTTCACTTAGCATGATGTCTAGAGATTCATCTGTGTTGTAGCATCATCAATATTTTAATTTTTTAGGGATGAATAATATGTTATTGTACATATATATACACACACAGATGTGTGTGTGTGTACACACACACATACACACACACACACCAGGATGTGATCATCCATTCTTCCATCAATGGACATTTGGGTTCTTCCCACCTTTTGCCTATGGTGAACAGTGATGCTATGAACATTCATGTGTATATTATTTGTTTGAACACCTGTTTTCAATTATTTGGGGTATATACCTACAGAATTCTGGTGGTATATGTTATAAGATGTTTTGGCTGTTAACCAAAAGATTGGTAGTTCAAACTCACCAGTCATTCCGTGGAGGAAAGATGAAGCAAACTGCTTCCATAAAGATTTACAGCCTTGGCAATCTAATGGGAGTCACTGTGAGTCAGAATCAACTCATAGGCAGTAGGTTTGATTTTGGTTACATACCTAGGACTGGAATTCCTGGGTCATATTATACTTCTAATATTTTGTGCAACATGTGCTAGGTAATAGACAAATATTTTTCATAGCAACTGTACCATTTTACATTCTTCTCAGTAATGTATGATGACTCTAATTTCTCCGTATCGTCAATAATCCTGTTTCCCCCACCCCATGTTTTATAAATGTAACTATCCTGTTGTTGTTAGATGTCATCAAGTCAGTTATGACTTATGGTGCCCATATGTACATAAAAATGAAACACTGCCCAGTGCTGAGATACCCTCAAAATTCTTGCAGCCACTGTATCAATAAATCTCATTGAGGATCTTCCTCTTTTTCAATGACTCTCTACTTTACCAACCATGATACACTTCTGCAGGGAGTAATCCCTCCTGATAACATGGACCAAGTCTTTCCATTCATTTTTCTAAGGAGCATTCTGGCTATACTTCTTCCCAAACAGGTTTGTTTGTTCTTCTGGAAGTCCATGGTATAGTCAATACTCTTTGCCAACACCATCATTAAAATGCATCAATTCTTCTTCAATCTTCCTTATTCATTGTCCAGTTTTTGTATTCATATGAGACAATAGAAAGTACCATAGCTTGTGCCAGGTAAACCTTAGTCTTCGAAGAGACATCTTTCCTTTTTAACACTTTAAAGAGGTGTTCTCCAAATTTGCCCATTAAAATTGTTCTTTGATTCTTTGACTGCAGATTCTATGGGTGTTGACTGTGGATCTAAGTAAAATAAAATACTTGACAACTTCAATATTTTCTCTATTTATCATGATATTATTGTTTGTTGGTCTTAGTGGATGTGAAATAGCATCTCATTGTAGTTTGATTTTATTTTCTTTCATTTTTTAAATTATAAACTATTTCAAGCAGAAACAAAAACTAGTGCAATGAATTCCCATGTGGCCACAACATAGCTTGAAAAACTATCACCTAATTGCTAATCTTCATCATTCTTTATTTTTTAAATCTTTTCACTCATATCAAACCTGTCTCTTAATTACCCATCTGTTTTTCCTCCCTTCCTTTCCCCTCCCATCCTTGGTAACCAACGAAGAACATTTTACAATAAGGGACTCATACATTGTTTGTCCTTCTGTGATACATTTATTTCACTCAGCATAATGTCCTCCAAGTTGATTCACATTATAAGGTGACTTGCTGATTCCTCATTATTCTTTAATGTTATATAATATTCCATTGTGTATGTACCGTATTTGGTTGTCCATTTCTCTGTTGATGAGTACTTAAGTTGTTTCCATCTCTTTGCCATTGTAAATAGTGCTGCGATGAACATGGGTGTGCATATATCCATTCATGTCCCGGGACTCAATTCTTTAGGATATATTTCTAGTAACGGGATTGCTTCATCAACTGGTGTTTTTATTTCCAACTTTTTAAGGAAGTGCCATACCATTTTCCACATTGATTTTACCATTTTACAGTCCTACCATCAGTGTATGAGGGTTCCAACCTCTCCACACTCTCACCAGCATTTGTTGTTTTCTGTCCTGATGAACTTTGCTATTATCTTTGGAGTGAGATGATATCTCGTTGTTGTCTTGATTTGCATCTCACTATGAATCAAATTGACTCAATGGCAGTGAGGGTTTATTTATTTATTTATTTATTTATTTATCACTAATGATTATGAACATTTTTTCACGTGTTTTTTAGCTGCCTGAGTATCTTCTTTGGTGAATTGTCTGTTCATATCCTTTCCCCATTTGTAATTGGATTGTCTTTGGATGTTGAAGTGTTAAAGTTTTCCATAAATTTTAGAGATAAATCCCTTGTCAGATACATAACTGACAAATATTTCTTCCCAATCTGTAGGTTCTCTTTTTACTCCTTTGGAGAAGTCCTTTTATGCACATAAGAATTTAAGTTTTAGAAAGTTCTAGTAATCTATTTTCTCTTCTGCTGTTTGTGACTTTTGAGTTATACTTGATAGACTATTTATACCATAAACCAGAGCCTCTAAATTTGTCCCTGTTTTATCTTTGATGAACTTTATAGTTTTGGGTTTAGGTCATTGATCCATCTTGAGTTTGGTTTTGTATATGTTGTGAGATATAGATCTTATTCATTTTTCTGCAAATGGATTTCCAGTTTTGCTAGCATCATTTGTTGAAGAGAATATTTCTTCCCCATTGAATGGGTTTTGGCATTTTGTCAAAGATTAGCTGTCCATAGGTGAATGGGTCTATCTTTGGACCCTCAATTCTGTCCCAATGGTCTATGTGTCTATCATTGCACCAATACCAGGCTGTTTAAACTACTTTAGCTAGTTAGCAGGTTTTGAGATCTA